CCTGGCAGGCCCCATATAAGTTGCCAAACTGTTCTTAAATGGTTTGACTACTTACTTTGGGAAGGTGCAACGACACTCCTGGCACCATAACCACTACAGTGAGCTGTATTGGCAATTGTGCCTGAATTGTTTCTATAAATAACCATGTGCCCCACCCGAGATTGGGTTCGGGATCAGTTGACTGTCATCTTCTTGTGGTAGTTTTTCTTTTTTTAAATATAGTCTCCTCCTTTACTGTGTTGATTCCCTTTATGTATTTAAAAGTTTCTATCATAGCCCATCTACCTTCTCACAGCCCCCACCCTCTCACAGCCCCCTACCCTTCTGCTTTATCACTAATAGAAATATTAAAGAGAATGGGTCCAAATAAATATCCCTGAGGTACCCTACTGATAACTAGTAACACTGGTAAAATGTTGTGAGCAAAACCTGCCATCTTATGCTTCTGTCTTTATCCCATTAATCTTAGCTCCCTTCTGTGTCCCATTTATGCTAGAGTTTTGCTTTATTGTATCCAAAAATGGTTCAAAGGCAAAGTCAAAGAGCAGCAATGATAGGAGAAGCCTGATGCGTGCTGTTCCAAATTGATCTGTGAGAACTCAATACACTCCAATTTGTGCCGTAGGGTGCAGAATCCATTCTAATAAGTGTGGTCCCACACCCTTGTGTTCCAAAGTGAGTAACAAGAATTCCAAATTTAACCTATTAAAAGCCTTCTCTGCATTAGCAGACAGGAAGAGAGGGCTCTCCGACATCTCCCCCTCCACCAGTATATTAATGATAAAACTCTAGTAGCATTAACTCATGACTCACGGTGTGACATAAAACTCATTTGGTGTGCTATATCTGGGTAGGGAGGTAGGATTTTAATTTCTTTACTAGTACTTTAGCAAAAAGCTTGTGCACTGCTCCAATTCCTTGCCCTCCTTTGCAAAATATGGTGTTGTAAGCAAACAATGTCTAGGTTGGAATCAGGTGGCTATCTCAGATTGAGTTAAATGCTTTGAGAAACTGGAGATAGAGTAGGTCAACAAACGTTTTGTAATGGAGAGGTAGCCCATGTGGACCGACACGCTTGCTTTATTTTGTTTTACTATCATAGCCAGTGCTTCCTGAGACAGAAATGGTCATCAAGAAACCCTAAAATGTCTTGTGACATGCCTTGTCTGAAGTGCTGTCCTGAAAGTGGTTAAAACACCCCAAGCCTCTAAGATGTGTGGTAGGGAAAGGTTGTAGTTATTGAGTCTCCAGTATGTACCAGTCAGTTTGTGTATAGTTGAGCTGATGGTCCGACCAAGCCCCAGACACATTGATGATGTGGTGGCATCTCTAGCAGTGGATGTCAGAGGCGTCAAGCGGTAGTGTTTCATTAAAAAGTAGTTGAACCTGGAGTAATAGTTGTAATAATAATAATAATGTTATATATAATTGTATAGTCACCCTCCAGCAGTCGACCTGTCAATGTAAATTGAGCAGTGATCTAAGGGCTTGTAAGACCCATTTTAGATGAGTGAAGAAGTTGGTGAAGGTGGTGAAGAAGTCTAGTTGGGGTTCCAAAGCTACCTGAATGTTCTGCAGCTGGTGCAAAACTGGTCAGAAATGTGTGTAGATGCCTATTTGAGGATTTGATGAATAAACATTTACAAAAGTATACACAGAATCAAGGATTTTCACTTAGACAAAGTGAGGACTCTCCTGATTTACCAGAGCAGATTTTTCCTTGCCTTTTGTAACTTTTATTTTATGTGACAAATTGCCCTGCTTCCCTGTATTATGGAGAAGCCTCATTGCCAGCCTCCTACCTCATAACTATGACCCTGGTGTGTATGCCCCCTGGGAGAGTTTGCCCTTTATAAACATTATTTGGGCACATTGGATTGTAACACACTTTTTATACACCTTTAATTCCATGAGAAAATGTGCCTCTTCCCCTCCCCCGTTTTGTCCCATTGTTCTCCAGCAGGGCATTGTCCCAGGGACACTACCAGACCAGTTTAAATTGGCTGCTTTGTCCCTCTGCAATCTCTCATCCGCCCTTGCTAAACTTTAACCCCATGGCGATTTTATTCTGTTCGTGGGATCTGAGCGCTGTTTGGATATATTGAGTGCTCAGATCCAAGCTATCTGGGGATAGGTGAATGTGGGGGTTCTGTTCAGTATGATAGGAATTATGTATTTTTGTGTATTCATGCTCTTGTGAATGGAGATGTTTTCTGTACCTGGAGATAATTGGCTTACCACACCCAAGCCATGCTTGCAGTCGGTCAAAAAGGACTTCCATCTATTTTTTTTTTTTTTGAACCACTGGACCAATTTGTATGATATATTCTGTATCTTCTGGTTCAGAATATGTAAGTTTTATGTGAATGTGATGCATTCTTTTAAAGTTATGAATATTGTGTAAAACTGTATATTTTCCTGCCTGTGATAATTACGTTAGCCCATTGTGTTCAGTAATTATATCACAGGCAGAGGGGATGATTTTGCTGTAATGAATGGGAGTGTCAGACATTGTTGAATGTTTTGATTGGTCTGTGTCCTTTGTCTGCCTGTGTACCATCAGGTCCAGGGGGTGTGCCTGTGGCCTGGGGAATTGTATAAATTGTGAGTTCTGCTTCCATTAAACAGAACTACTTGACCCTCTAACTCGCAGCCTTGACTCGTGTTTGCTGGGGACAGCTATAATCACTACAGGGATTGCTATGCTCTTCATACTCCCTTAGCTACTTAGCTCTTGTAAGAGCTCTTGTTCCTGATCCTGCTTAGCTCTACAGAAGGAAGAGGTTCACCTACTGGAACCTGGAGCCTAGTCATAGGTCCAGGGTGGATAGCAGACGGCGAGATCCCAGCCCAGCAGCGGTGGTTCGTGGAGTCTGCAATGCATATAGTGTCTACGGTGCTGATGGTCCTTTGGTGAGCGCTAGGAGCATACTTTCTATGGTCCAACTTCCAGCCAGCCTGGAGGCAACTGTAACAGTATTCCTGTTCCCATTGATTTGCCTGAAGGCTTGCAACTTCAACATCCAGTCAGTTGTATGTAGTTAGCAAAATTTGGTCATAAGCCCACTCATAAGTGTGTTTCCTGCACAAAGGTCCACTGCACAGGAAAGTCCCAAACACCCACCCTAACGGGTCACTTCTCACACAACATTATATTATGACTGGGGGGAAGAGATCAAAGAAAAGGACTTGTGTAAAGATGGAACTCTCTGGGAAAACAGGGCTGGAAAAACACCTTTTGAAGGGAAAATGGATTTTGGGACTCGTAGTTAATGACTGCAAAAATCGGTCTTTAAAAGAACAACAGCTAAGGAGATTGGGCTCCTCTCTTTCTATTTTTGTTTCTTTTGGGAAGGACAACGCAGCAAGCAGTGGTGCCATGGTGAACTGAGAGAGACTGTCCCAGACTACCAAAGATGAAGGTGCAAAGGGAAGATCTTGTCTAAATATTGCCCTTTTACTGTATATCTTTTGATTATGTATTGGATATGGTTAGAACGTGTATATACCTTTTAAATATGTAACAGTATCCTAAATCAATATTAAAAATACATTTTATTATACACTTGCGTTAGTGTCTTATGTAACTCATTCCCTAAAAGAATATCCTTGTAAGAGGGTCATAATTTCTTGCATGTGATTTTCTGTCAGGCTTTCTGAGTCCTCAGGCATTTATAGAGAGTATGGTCAGACGTGATGATGCAAATGCCATGATTAGTCAACACACAACTCTTGCATTTATCTATGGAGAATGAGTTTTATAGCCAATGGGGCATCCCTGCATTTGACATGGAGGGAGTTGGAAGGGCTAACAAAGGCAACCATTATTGTCATGAAGCAGTGGTGTCAGGATCCAAGCTCAAGCGGACTTCAGATTCAACTATGTTCAGGCGACAAACTAGTGGTCATGGAAGAGACCAGATCCCTCACAATAGAGGGAAAATGGTGTCCGTTGCTACAACAAGGTTCAGATGGAATATACCAAGCAGAGTACTCACTTTTTGTCACCCCACTCAGAGTGCAGCAGTGTCCCTGATATGGCTCTATCGGGGTGCAGCAGTGTGCCTGATAACCAAACTTAAGCAAACCCCCAAATTGGCTAATATATAAACATAAGACTGGGAGCCTTTGGTGAACCAATAAAAGTAAAGATGGTGTAATACCCCATTGGTTGTTTTTTTTTTTTTACAAAACTTCCTGTGATTGATAGTTGCTATTAAACATTATGCGCCCATAGATTTAGTAAGTAATTTACAGCTCCTGGTTGGGACAGATAGATTATCTAGTTGTGCCATAGGGCAGAGAATAAGTGGTGATTTTATTAGTAACTGGGAAAAAACAAGAATTGGGAGAGTGAAAAGTTAAGTAGCCATTTGATGTCCCCCAGGTTGGTAGTGGAATTACTAGAAAGCTCAATTTGTTACAGAGCTGTCACTGAGTTTGGAGAACAAGCAGCAATGCTCACCGATGTTCAAACCGTGTTGCAAGTGACTTGTACCAGAAGACTTTCATTCATTAGTATTATTTGACACTTTATACTCGGAGTTGTTCCAAACATTTTATGTGGTTTGATACATTATTACAAACCTTTTGTTTTTGTAATTTAAAGGAACACTACAGGGTAAGCAATACAAACATGTATTCCTGATGTTAAAACCACCCTTTAGCCCCCCTGACTCCTGAGCCCCTATATATAGCAAAATCTTAACTTTATTCTAGTCTGCTGCTGCTGGCTCTGCACCTGATCTGATCAGCCTGCTTGGCTGACATCATCAGAAGAGGTGTTCTGAGCCAATCACAATGCTTTCCCCAAAAAAAGCATTCTATTGCCTGAGACTGTCAAATTACAGAGCCAGCAGAAGCCAAACACAGCCCTGGGGAATCAGTATCTCATTATGTGTTTGGTACAGTGACAATGAAGTTGAATCTGAATCCTGAATTAATGTGTGTTGCAATTTATGTTTTGTCATTTGTATCAACTGTTTAGTTTCTTTGTTTACCTGATGTCTGTAATTATAGTTTTTTAAATTTATTTTATTTGACTGTCTCTTAAGATACATGTTCATTTCATTCAAGGCATAAGCCATAACAACTACTGCATAATACATTCGAGGAGAAGATCCACGGTACACATGATCCTTAGCTTTTAGTGTATATGCACTTCCAGTGCAATTAGACAATTTGTTCCCAAATTTTGTAGAGAATAGAATGTTCTTGGTTGTATTTCGTGACAGACAATTTAATTCTGATATCCAGATATCTTCAAGCATTTTGTCATTTGGGTACTTTGAGGGATTAATATTATCAAAAAAGGATCCAAATGGTGGAATAGCCATAGGGTACAGGTCTATGGCCAAACTGCCATTCAATGGTTCAATAAAATAATCTGTTAAAAAATTGTTAGCAGACCAAGAAGGAGGAAGAATTATTGTTTTACCATAAAACAAATGTTTTGCACCAAGTAAAATGTCCACTATTGCAAGATTAAATGATCCAATAATTAAAATAACTTTGGCAGATGACCCTTGGATAACTGGTGAAATTTGATTAATTGCATTTGCAAATTTATGTGAATTAATATTAAATTTCAGAATGAACGCCACACATATACCATATTCAGCCATATACTTCCTTAAAACCAGTTCCTCTGTCTCTCCACTTGAATCATCTGATGCTAAGATTCCAATCCAAAACCAGTTGAAGTGCTTCAAAAGCTGAGAAATAATCTTATTAATGACTCTATCATTTTGAAGCATTCGGAAGAAGTTAGGATAAAGATGTCTATCACTTAGAGTATAGTCGGTGGCTCCATAACTGATCTAAAAAACAAAAAAAAAATGTAAACATCAAAATGTTATGGACATTGATAGTTTATACATTTGTGGCCATTTGTAAAATCAATTAACTCATTCAAGAAGTTAAGACATGTCAATATGTCCTGGAAAGTAATAAAAATGAAAAATAATACATAACCCAGCTAAACCAAATTGAGGCAACTCAGGCAACTCCCAGTGTCACATGATTGCTGTGACAAGTTGGCACAGTGATCACTGGTACAATGTCACAGCCAATTAATTTGAACATTCTGCCTTTCTTTCCCAACTTTGATCTGAGACAAGAGAGGCAGAAATGCCATTGATTTTTGTTTTTTTTCCTTGTTAAAATATTTTCTTTTCTTTCTGTTTTAAACCTTTCCTGCTTTCTGATCACTGTACCACAAGCATTCTGTCTGATCAACATAACCATTTATTTACTCCACTTTTCAGTAAAAAAATAAATAAAAGAAAATTATATACAGTATATACTTGAGTATAAGACAAGTTTTTTGGCACATTTTTTATACTCGAGTCAGTGTCTGTATTATGGCAACTTACATTTGCCATAATACAGACCAGGACCACCGGGCTCATTAAAAGCCCGGCAGTCCTGTTGGGGGCTGGGAGCAAGCTGTTACTTACCTTTACAGCAGCTCCGTTCAGCTCCCTTCACCTCCGTGCATCTCCCCTGTCAGCTCCGTTCTGCTCACAGTATAAGTCTCGTGAGAGCTGCGGCCGTCAGACCGCGAGATTTACAGTGGAGCTGAATGGCACGGAGGAGTAGGAAGCTGACCGGAGCTGCTGTAAAAGTAAGTAACATCTTGCCCATCCACTGGACCACCAGGGAATAATATAGCTTCCCTCCCTGGCCATGTATCAAGCAGGGAAGTTGGCCTTGTATGTGCGGTCTCCAATGCAGACCTCCCCGTATATCTACGCTATCCCTGATTCTAGCTGCTAGTGGGTCCAGGGCCAGGATGTAAAGCAGGGATGACAAAGGGCACCCCTGTCTCATCCCATTTGATATAGTGAATGCCTCGGACAGGAATCCCGTGTTTATTACCCTCGTAGAGAGCTCACTGTGTAGGGCCTCAACCACTGCTCTGAACTCCTCTGGTATCTCAAATTTTTTCATGACCTCCTCCAGGAACCTCCAGTGGAGTCGGTCGAAGGCTTTCTCCGCATCTAAGGAGAGCAGTAAGCCCCCACCACTTTAGAAATGTTGCATGCTGTATACTTTTTGTGTGTTTTCCGATCCCTGTCAGCCCAACACAAACCCCAACTGATCTGTGTGTATATGTGGCAAGATTTTACCCAGTCTCGCTACATATATCTTTACGAACAGATTTGCATCAGTGTTCAGTAGGGATATCGGCCTAAAGTTCTGAGGATGCGTTGGGGGTTTCCTTGGCTTAGGGAGTGTTATGATATGGGCTTCCAAGCAATCCCCTCTCAGGTGTTTAGTTTTGACGGCTTCTGTGAACTTCCGCACCAGATATGGTGCCAATATCTCCCGGAATGTCTTATAATAGGCATTCCCGAAGACATCTGGGCCCAGGGCTTTCCCCCTCTTTCCCCCTCTGTAGAGCTTTGATTCCTGTCATAACCTCCTCGACCGAAATTGGGGCCACTAGGTTCTCTTGTTGTTGCCGTGAGAGAGTGGGAAGGTTGGTGTTTGAGAGGTATGTGTTTATGGATTCTGCTTTTGGGTGGTGGACCAAACTCATCACTAATTTCTTTTGGGATCAAGAGTTTTTTCCTCTCTTTTGTGTTTAGGAAATCTAGTTTTTGGTTGGCTTTCCTAGTTTTAAGACGTGACACCAGCATTTTGCTTGCTTTGTTACCTTGTGAGTCATTTTTTATTTTTAGTCACCTCATGTTGCGGCCTGTCTCTTCTAAGGCTTGGTGGTGTATGTTTTGGATGAGCCTGGAGATTTTGCTTTTAAGCTCCTGGGATGGGGAGGTCTGGTTTTGTTTAGCCAGCGATTGCAGTTCAATGTGCCAATTATGCAGGGTTTCCCGTGCTTTCTTTCTCAGATACGTCGCCCTTTTTATGAATTCCCCTGATTACTGCTTTGTGTGCTGCCCATAATATTCCTGGGGACATGTCTGGTGTCGTATTTTCTGCAAAATATTGAGTCAGTGTAGTGCGCACGTCCCTAACGAATGTGTCATCCCCTAATAATGTCTCATCGAGTCTCCATGAGCTCTTATGTTGGAAGTCGTATTGGTCTTTTAGTTCTAGTGTGACGGGCGCATGGTCGGACCACGTGATATCCCCTATCCTGCATTCCACTACTTGGGAGAGTGTAGGGCCATGCATGTAAAATCTGTCTATGCGGGAATAGGAGTTGTGCACCTGGGAGTAGTGAGTATAGGATTGTTCTTGCGCATGTGTGCTGCGCTATGTGTCATAGTAGTGTTGTCTATGTAAAGGTTTTTGCATCTGTTGACATCTCTGTCTCATTGTTCTAAAGCTTTTGCTAAGGGGGGGTTGTGGCGAAACCGACCTCACCACTGGGCACTGGAGAAGACTGATCGCCAGCCTCCTGCCATGTGACTATGGCCCCTGGGATGTATTGCCCTTTAAAGACATTATTTGGGCATATTGTATTTTATTATGCTGCTGCTGGCCCTTTAAGAACCATCAGGGGACATACTGTGGAGTTACTGGGTGGCCACCATTTCATGTATCAGAGGCACATGGTGAGAACAATGGATAAAGCACATGGTGAGAACAATGGATGGCGGCCATTTTAACTCACAGACACTGTTTGGACTTTTCTACACAGTGCCATCTCGCCGGTATTGGGTGCACAAAGACATTGTGCAGTAGTTTTAAACTATACAACAGGGGACACATTATACAGTAATTATTTTTCATATGGACTGTATATGTTCTGCGGAATCTGCATTAAACTGTACCTTCCAAACTACTGAACGGATCGGGGTGAATTTTGGATATGTGGTTCACCCAGACCCCCCGGTTCTTTTTATGTTTTGCATGTTTTGGGGTCCCTGTGATATGTTTTATAATATTGTATTTCTCTCCCTGTGATAATTATATTAACCACTGTGTTCAGTAATCATATCACAGGCAGAGGGGAAGATTTTGTGTGGGAGTGTCTGTGTGTATCGTATGGATTGATTGGTTGTATTTCAAAACCCTGTGGGCAGTATTATGTTTGTGGATTGTGAATAAAAGAGGATGTATGTGCCAGTACAGTCAGTTCTGCTTGACCTCAAAATGAAGTGTCGTCTCGTTATTGGGGGAATTGGATTGTATGCTGATTGCCAGGAGAGTGATTGTATGCTTTTCCTGTTCAGCTGCTTACAGCATTCATATGCTTGAGAGCATTTGTATGCTTCTCTGGTTCAGTGGTTGTGGTGTCTGCTGCAGTGCTTGGAGTCCTCAGGAAGCGCTAGGAGCATCCTTCAATGGAGGTATCCAGTCGGGGTGTCAGGTGATCTGTTACAGGGGTAAGGTTGTGTCTAGCTTTGGGTCTAGCGTTTGATTAAAGTCTCCACAGATTATGGTTATACCCTGGTGTAGTTTGGACAGTTTACTGAAAATCATGTGTAGAAAGTTGCGCTGATTGATATTGGGGGCATAAATGCTGGCAATGGTATATTGTATGTTGTTGATTAGGCACACCAATATAACATATCATCCTAGAGTTTCTATCTCCTGCATTTGGGAAGTAAATGCTAGCTGACGTGGCATGGAATTGGTGTGGGTATTGTGTTTGCAGGAGTGCTATAAAGTTGTTCGTTCTATAATGGGTCTCTTGGATACATAGTATGTCTGCTGCAAGTGATTTAAGTTCCCTGTGTAGGAGGTGTCTTTTCACTGGTGCATTCAAACCTCGTACATTAAAAGAGCATATTTTCATGGGGGGTGGTATGTGTAGTAAGCCTCTGTTTTTGGCTCTTGAGAATTTCCTTTAATGTATGGGGGGGTTCACCCTTCCCAGCAATATCAAGCCGGGTGTCCTACCACTCGCTTTCGTCCCCTGTCGTCTTTGCGATGTGTTGTAGGTGTTGCATACCACTGCTATGCTGTGGGATCAGTGGTCCGTGATGTATGTAAGGAGTTGGCCACCTGTCTGGCCTAAACAAAAAGAAAGGATAACTAAATGAACCAAAAAGAGAACATATTTACAATGTTGCCGATCTGTAGGCATGGCGCCGACTGTCCACGCCATGAGGGTTGAAGCAAACTGCTTCTTCCTGGTATGCGCGAGGCCATGTCCCTCACCTTAGCGTTGAGCCTCTATTAACCCGTGTTCTAGGAACAGCCGCAACTGTCGGGCCTTGGTTTGTGGTAGTTTGGTAGTTCCCCCTTTTTTCTTTTTTTTTTTTTTACTTTTTTGAATTATGTATATGTATAATATAAATAAATATATATATATATATATATATATATATATATATATATATATATATATATGTGTGTGTGTGTGTCTATATATATATATATATATATATATAAATGTATTATTATTATTTTTGTTTGTTTTATTTTTTTATATAAACATTACTATTAACCATATTTTTTTTAATTTATATTTTATTTATTTTTGTGTTGGGGTACTCGTTATAACTTGCACGTGCGCTAGTACACCCAGAACCCCCACCCCCTTATTGAGTCAGGCCGGGGGGGACCCCACCTGTCTCCATCCCCCTCCCCTCTGCTCCTAGAGCCATGAGTGGATAGGGCTGTCAAGTCACATGTATCCCGTTTTCTATCCTTGGAGGTACTCCGTGTTACTCATTTCAGTAGCCGGGCTTCCCCTCTAGTCCCCTATGCCATTCTCGGGGGTGGGCCCCGTCCCAGCACGCTCCGTCTAGGTAGTCAGTCGTGTATAAAAGTGGCACCCCCCCTTCCCCCAGCCCCCCAATAACCATATATACATACTTGTGGAACTCCCAACTGCTTATACGATCTGACAAGTTCCCATTATGGTAGTCTCTTTGTCGGTTGATGCTCGTTTGGGTGTTTTTTAGTGCCGCTGTCTTTGGGTTTTCCTCCAATCGGGCGGTATTCTGGCCGTTGCTTGTGTGGATCTTGCCGGGTTGGGATCTCCAGCCCCCAACTTCTAATAACTTTGAGGCACTCCGCTGGTGATGATATTGTTGTGAGTCTTCCGTTTCTGTTGACCAGCAGTTTCACTGGGTATCCCCATCGATATGGTACCCGTTGAGCTCGCAGGGCTTCTGTGAGTTCTTGGAATTCTCTTAGTTTCTTTAACATAAAGGATGAGATGTCAGTGAATATGAGGAACTCAGGCTCAGGCTCTCACCATTACTGACTAACAAAAGTCAGAACAATAGTGATGATGAAGGACCCTCACAAGGGAACAACACTATTTAATTACCGACCAGATACCTGCCTCCCCACAACATAGAAAGTCTATGTACACTAGATAAGTGTGGGCGGATGATAGCAAAAGAGGAAAGATGTTCAGAACAGAAGGAGTTCAAGTACCACATTGGAAATGAAGAGAACAACTACAAGTACCTGAGGTTACTACAAACACATGGCAACCATGAGGAAAAGGTAAGAGGATAGCAACATCCAAGTACCTCCAGGGAGTCAGAAAGGTCCTGAAGTCCCAGGTCAATGACAAGAATGAGATTCAAGCCATCAAACCATATGCCCTACCAGTCATCAGGTACCCAGTTGGAATAATAACTTGACCAAGAGAAGAACTGGCCACCATGGATGTTAAGACCCAGAAGCTACTCAATATGAATTATGGATGCCACCCAAAAGCCTGCACTTAGAGACTGTACACCAACAGGAAGGAGGTCAGGGCCTGATGAGTGTCAAGATCACAGTCTTGGAGGAAACACAGAGCATCCAAAAGTGCATCACGAAGACTGCTCAAAGATGAATGGCTAAGGGAATGCCTGAGACTTCAACAATCCTTTTGTGAATTTTCTGTTTATACATTTAGGAGTTATTGTAACCGAACACACTGCATTAACCCCTCTATACCATTAGAACGTTCACACCAGCAACTTAAGTGTGAAACTGCAAGGGAAGTAATTAATGAATGCTTCCCGTGGGTGGCCGCAATTTTGTATAACCAAATACATGTTATTCAGTTATACATGTACATGTATACAATGAACACCACTGCCCACATTCAGGAGACAAGAATGACGTCCAGAACCCTTTC